AACCAAAAGAAGAATTTCATTTTAAAGAAAGCCGAAATTGATACTAACTTAGCGAAGGAGAATCCCCAGGTCTTTTAACACGAACAGTCGATTAACGTTTTATATTTTACGAAGCCTGAATCTCTTCATAAAAGCCTTAGATAAATTTGAGTCTAAATACCAAAAGTTGCAACAACACGGATTTCCTTGTTTGCCATTGTTCTGACCTTTATATTAAGAACTAACCAGAAAAAAGTGTGATTCTGACGCCGAAAAAAAATTGAACCTCCGATTAAAGCATTACAGAATAAGACGGACGTAAAACTAATGTAATGATACTAAAACTGACCCAAAATTTCCACGAATTTGTTACAATTGTCCTTGCCTTCTGGACCTGTCGTTGCGTGATCCAGTACCTTGAAAATAACACTGCAGCATAATAGAAAATTGTGGAAAAGTCAACAAGGTGAGGTTACCTTCAATGCGCTTTCCCTCGACTGTTTTCGTTCTCTCAGCATCAGATTCATTAGCTGTAAGCCCTCACCGTCTAGAAATTTCCCTCTGTTGGCCGGCAGCATGAGAGCAGCACATAATGCGTCAAAAAGATTTTCCATATGTTCGCGCTCATCCATGTTTTCAGGATCATGTCGTTTGTATGCGGCAAGAGCCTAGAACACATTTACTGAAAATTTATTCGCTTATACTGCAAATTTCACAAAAAAACAAGACCCTTAGCTGCGTAAATGGACAAACTGCTTTCATATGGAAGAAGACCAGTAAGTTAAAACAGTTGGGCTAGCTGTGGCACCTAGCTGGAACACGGGTAATGCCTTTTCGGCCAGGTGAAAAGAACGCGAAGAGGCTTCTGAGGTAGCCACCGCGTGAATCGCATTTCCCTGGGAGCTGTACTCCAGGAACTCGAGTATACAAATAGAAAGGCTGCAGGAACAAATGCTTAAAAGATGCATAATGGAAGGAAATCTTGACAATATTGTCGGAGGAAGAAGAATCTGTCCACAAAAAAAGGTGCTCTCATCCAACGTCCAATGTTATGTGGAGTTCGACGTAAATTTTGGCTGATGTAAACACAAGATTTTCACCAAAGTTAAAGGGGAAGAAGTTATGAAAGCATGTAGATGGGTGATTTTGACACCAAGAAAGTGGGTGAGCCATAAAAAATCAAAACTGATGAATCGTCGCTGCAGGGAATCATTTTTCGCTTCATTGCTTGAACAGGAACGCCTACTCATGGTTTTGCTCTCGACCTCATGTTACTTTTTTCCTGTTCATGACAATGCAAAAGCAAAAGGGCACTCAAGAAGCAATTAGAAGCGTCCCCACGCAACATTTGTGACAGATGTACGGCGGAAATTTGAACGCGTAACAGTCCTAGATTTTCAAAATGTTCATCAAAACATACGGGGAAATAATTATGGGGGAGAAGAGTAGAGCTGTTTCCAAGGAGATTCCGGTAATACGAAACGACAGATTTCCAACATCGAGCGCGGCGTACCTATTTCCTTCAAACTTACTGTTTCCAAAAGATGTACATTTCGACCGCCTGTAGACTTGCCGCCATACTTTTGCCCCACTTTATGCAATAAAAATGAGAAACCTGCGAAAATAATCGCATCTGCGCGAAAATAAGACACGGGGCTAAGATTTTCATTCAAAACAGTTTTCCTGGTGTTGGTGCTTCTGTCTCGCCCTTTATCTAGAGCAGCACAATGAAGGAGATCAAGCAATATAATTAAGCGAAGTTTTGCCACAGATCCGTGACTTTTGCCTTTGAAGATTGGAAGGAACATCATGATCTTGTCACCACCATCAATATTGAAAGAAGATAAAGGCTTCGATGGTGTTCTCGGAAAAAAGGAGCAATGAAAGCAGATGAAAGAAAAAACATCAATACACCCAGCGAAGAAGAAAATATTTAAAAAAAAAACAGATAAAAAGAAATAGAAATTCGTGGGAGAAGAGACTCAAAAAGTACTCACACGAAGTAACATATCAATACCATCGACCTTCTCAGTAAGTTTTCGTTTCGCCGTCTCGGATAGCTGGAGTAAAAGCGCGACGAGCTCACTTGCGTACATCTTGTTTGCATCAAACTGCCCCTTAAACGAGGTCATTAATTGCTGCCCTAGCAAAGTATGACAAAATGATCTAATGCGTGCACGTATAAATTTCGAGAACATGAAAAGAGGAGTAACAATTAGCGTACTCACTACTGCACTCGATTTTTGCAGTGCGAATAACCATCAAATCAAAACATGAAAAATCGAAAAAAAAGTGAGGAAGCGGACCTCGCTTGCTTTTAGGAGCACTACCTAGAGATCAAACGTACGGGCATGAATTGCGCTGTGAAGGATTGCTTTATTTTGGACTTTATCCTTCAAAATTAATTGCTTAAGCTTTCAGCCTCGCAGCTCATTGCCAACGTTGACAGACCGGCTCACCGTAAAACGCGCAAGCGGTGATAAGCTATGGTAAACATACCATGAAAAGCTGAGTTGGGGTGAAATGGTGCCCCGGTAGCGTAACTGGTAGCGCACTTGCCCGGAAAGCGAGAGGTGCGGGTTCTAGTCCCAACTGGGGCGAAAGTTTGTTTATAAACCACTATTCTAGTGAAACGCATTTCTCATAAAAAAGGAATGATGAAGAAGGTGGAGACGCAAGTCAACGCAAGGCGCTAGACTTCCTAACAACTGGCTAGCTAGCGAATAATGGATCTGCCCCATTCCCCGAAGAGCTGTAAAATAACCTCAATTTTTGGGAAAAGGATGATGGATACAAAAAGTCTTATGTTGGGCGAAGGTCCGAAAAAATTCGTGCAATGCAAATTTAACCCTGCTCGTCCGTTTTGCCAACCATCTGAACTACACCAGAGTCAACGGCTCAGACCATTTCAGTGCAATACATGGGCGATAACAGGCAAAATCAGGCGAGTGGTATGGAATGCAAACTGGGAGTAGCATACATCACTGCGCTAAACCGTTAATGGGATACTAGGGTTCGAAATAGGCTCACCAGTGCAGCTTATATCTTAACAAACGTATCCTACTTAACTTCGCCAGACAAATTTGAAGCACACACCTTTTGACATGCTCTCCGTAACAACCAAAGGAATAGGTTTTGATTCACACAGTCTTCGGCAGTTTCTGGTCGGAAGTCAATCATCTGAAACTTTCCAATAATGTAGCATATATTGAGTTGATTCCTCAAATCGAATGAAATGGAGCATTTTCAAAATGGAGTGTAGTGAAGGATCAACAGATCAATTCCCAAAGAATGAGCCGATGTTTGTAGATTCAAAAATCTCCTTTTATGAAGTGGTATTCATACACCACGACAAAAGGAAAGTAAGAGAAGGACAATAGATGTACATGACAGAAAACGAACAATAA